TTAAGCACATTCAATATGAACATAAAACACATAATATTAAAATTAAAGTAATGACTGAACACTTAGTGTGAAATTTCTATGGATTGTGTCAATTATCTCTGTCAAATTCCTACCACTTAGCTTTCAAATCCACTGTTCCTCTAAAAAACATCAAACATGAAAGACTTTGTACTTTCACAGTGCATGAATGTCATAACATTTTCTTGGGTGGTCAGTCATGTTAATTTATTTATTTATACTTGTTTAACAAAGTTTTTTCATTAGCTCAGATTATACAGAATCAAATGAGAGGATGATAGTGGATTTAACAAAGTTTTTTCATTAGCTCAAATTACACAGAATCAAATGAGAGGATGATAGTGGATAACGAATTAGAAAGAATGTGGAATGAAGCATCCATGGCCTAATTTGACGTACCATCATGGCAATTTCCTGGAGCGACTGAGGAAAACCACGAAAACCTGTCAGGATAGCCAGTTCCCAAGCCAAGACTCAAACCTGGGGCCATTCAACCACGATGTTCAGTGGGCACGTTAACGTAGAGTCAATTGCGAACATTCTGAAGACTACGTATCAGTCAGTCTTAGAGGCGCACGCTCCTTATTGGTATGTTGTATGACTGGAGGGTAGACTCAGGTTGTGGGGTCAATTCTGTCACTTTGGGCACCTTATCACTTAACCTGGAGTAAGACCTTCTATCCCCATCCCTTTTTCTATGTTCGCCTGCCATTGGTTTTCGTGGTCATCTGGGGACCTACCCCATCAGGCAATGGTTTGTAATGTTTTGACGCCAAGTTCCATGCTTGACCAAGTTCAAACCCTTCTTATCTGTTGATATTATTCAGATGTCATATTCCTATTGCTTTGTAATTATTCCATATAACCTGCTGTTTTGTTAATACATCAGTATCTTTTAACTTTATCTGATAACCCCACTGCTGCTTTTTCTAGATGATCAGTGGCAGCAGGACAAAACACCTAATAAATAGTTTGAATCCAGTATGTCTAGAACATGAACCACTTCAGTGCAATTTTCATTGAGTGCTGAGAAGACCATTTTATACCTTGCAGCCTTCATCAATTATTATTAAGGTCATCAAATCACAGACAATGAGATGAGAGATATGTAGCATGTATGCAAGAGCCAAGAATTGTGTGCAAAATTTTAATCACAGAACTTGAAAGGAACACACCACTTAGAAAACGTACACATACATGAGAGAATAATATCAAAATGGAATAATGTATAAGAGTGAAGGCTTCCATGAACACAGTAATATACTTTTAAGTTCTGTAAGAGGCAAAAACTTTCTTTCCAGCTGAGAAGCTCTCTCAGCTTCTCAAGGTCACTGCTCCATGAAGCCACTAATATACAGTAAACCATCATTAAAGTAATTATTTCTTTGATACTGGTTACTTTATTTCAAATCAATCTATCAGAACTCAGAATGACTGTCTTATGGAATGTTACACCCTGATGATGGAGGTAGTAAGCACCACTGAAATTTTGAACTTCTACAGACTACATAGTGCAACATCCCAGAGGACAGCCATCTTCATACTCGCTGCCATGGAAACCTAAAATATCATGAAACAGGATTCAATTTCAGATTTGCACTTACAAGACTACTCTGTGTATACCTTCACATTGTTTCAGTATGCTGTAATTCCAATCAGTGATTTTATTTTGTAAAACATGAGGATTCTAATTATCAGCCAACACTTAATTTTACACAAGTTAACAGCTTTCCCCTTCGCTAAAATTAGCAGTTTACATGACTTCAAGCACAGCCAGTTAATGATTATACCTTTTTTCTGCTTCTAGCTTGTCCATTCGTTTCCACAACTTGTTGACCAATGCCTCTTGTTCCTGCTCCAACGTATTTTCCAACTCTACTTTTTCACGGCGCAACTGCTCCAAATTACTTTGCTTCGCTAGAGTCTCTGCTTCAAGCTTCTCAATTTTTCGCATCAGTTTATTCACCAAGCATTCTTGTTCTTGTTCCAAAGTCTGCTCCAAGCGACATTTCTCTTGACGAAGCTGTAAGCCCAAACAAAACAAAAACAAAAAAATCACCTCTAATGCTCCTTCAGCCAACCTCACAAGGCAATGACTGCCTGTCTCAAACATATCTCACCAGACACTGAAGTCACAATCTAACATACATAAAATTAACAGGAATTACAATGAACTATACTTTCTGCTTGAATATGTGGCAGCTGTTACCCTGTTATTGTCTCATCAGTTTTCCATTGCTGATTTTCATTTAATCACCTCAGTATTTATGAAGCCATAGAAGCTACCACTTGAATAATACTGTACACAACAAGAAACAAATAACTTAACTATATTCATTTCATTCTTTCTCCAAGTTCAGTTTCCTACGTCTACCTCTAACAGTTTAATATGTTTCAGTATGATATGTATTGATTTCTAGCATAAAATGTAATAGGCGTTTAACACTGTAATATATATTGTATTCATCTATTTTCTACTGGACTTTGCCTGTAACATGGAAGAAGTAGAATAGAATAGGAAAGACCTGCGCAATGTGAATGTTACATAAAACCAGTTATACAAAGTAAAGACTACAATAAACCACTGATACCTTCCAAATCGTTAAATTCATGTCCACAGAGCATATATTAAAATGTAAAACTAAAAAATGCCAAATATGTAAGAACTTACCTGATTCAACTTTCTCGACAAATCATTAGTCAGACACTCTTCCTCTTGCTCATAATGATGAGCCAATGTTTCTTTTTCCTTTTTCAAGGCTTGTATCTTTTTGAGCAATGTGTTGCTGATAAATTCTTCCTCCTGTTCGGCCTTTGCTTGCTGAAATTAAATTCAAAATGGCAGATAAATGAACCCAGATTTTGTACATAAATAAATAACCGACAAGAATCCCGCTTTTGTTTAGTGACACCGCGCATATTACTTTCTACCTAATTCCATCATAAATAGTACCAACTGTTCATTCTCTAGCTAAAGAAACTATGATTTAAACTTACGATAATCACAGATGCTTGCCGCAGTCCCCTGTTTTCTTCTTGTAAAGCTTTCACCCGTAGCTTATATGTTTCCAGTTCAACTTTTAGTACCCTGTTCTGTTGCTGCAATGATTCTATACGTTTCTGGAGTTGTTCTCGTGTTACTGGGGATGGAGGCATCATTATTGGGCCTCCATCAATAGAGCTAGAATCACTCTCACTTGCACTATCCGCCATGTTTCTCCAGGTTTACAACGTGCCCTGGCCAATTCAAGTAAAACTAATTACTTATAACACTACAGCTTCAGTAAAGAAGAAGAATTTTCGTGGATTTAATACCAAATTTACACTCTCACGTTACTCCTTCCAAATACAATTCCTTTCTCTCCCAGACAGGTGCTAACACATTCGGCTTTTTGCAGACACGGTTCCGTTACTGTCGTTTGTCAACTGTTCGTCACAGATAATAAATGCTGTTCCCGTACACTTTCATGCCTGGAGAGTGTAAACCGTTGCGGAAGATATTGTATTTCCTCATGCTTTCTTTGCAATGTATTTATGTCTTAAATCTGCTCGCTCCCCCCCACCCGACCTTTATTTGTCCAAACCATTATTTTGACGTAAATACGTCTATATGGAAGGGTCAGTGTCATTCCGCAAAAAAATGTAACGAAAAAGTGTAAGATGGTTACCTAGGAAACGTGTTTACTCGTTATTGTTGTTACCTAAGAAACGTCATTGTTTACTCGGCATTGTTGTTACCTAGAACACGTTACATTACATTACTCGGTATTTTTGTTACCTAGGAAACGTCATCTGTTTACTCCGCATTATTGTTACCTAGGAAACATCATTTGTTTACTCAGCATTGTTGTTACGTAGGAAACGTTACATTACATTATAACAACAAATGGATTATGTTACTCCACTTATCCCATTCAAAATGAGAATATAAAACATGGAATTCCTCAAGGTTCAATACTTCATGCTCTACTTTTAAACACATGCATCGATTACCAGCTCTAAACATTAATACTCAGTCTAAAACCATTTTTTGCGGATGATACTAATATTATTATTTCACATCCAAAAATAGACTGTTTCCAATGAACAAGTGGTTTAAACTGTAATCATCAAAGACAACAATCTCATATTAACCATTGACAAAACAAATTTAATGAAAGTTTGTACAAACAACAAGTTCTTCTAGGTATAGAGTTTGAGGATACATCAATTGAAAAAGCAGAAACAACTAAGTTTC